AGTCAAACTTAGTTCATTTTAACAGAAACATTTTGCAATAAATATGTCAACGAAAATAAGCTCGAGCGAGTGGACAACTTGTATAGACAGAGTTCAAAGAGAAAATAAAGCATTATTCTACCTTGACACCTTTCTTAATTCACTGTCGATTTTGTCAGTTCGAGGTGCCTTTTTATTTTTTCTATTTTCAAGTTTTTCCTATAAATTTATCCTTAATTCCTTTGATTTATCAAGTTTTTAATAAAGCTGTATTAGATGTTCATTATTTCTTATTTTAAATAGTTCCGAATTTCAGTTTAATACTAGAAGTATCGCCATTATATGAAAGATGTCGAGAATGATCGACTTGCCCTATGAATTAATTTTAATTATTCTAAACTATCTTCCGAGTCGTGAGTTATGGCAAAATGTACGCTTAACATGTCGGTTCTTTGCAACGATTATTGCTGATCAGAGCTACTGGAGACGAAAGTTATGGGTAAATTCGTTTTGATTTAAGGAAAACCAATGTGCGTAAAATCCAGGACTTAAATTTGCTAAATGATATTGTTTTGCTATTTGAGATGAGTTTTTATGAAGGATTTTTACTTGTATTTCGAAGTTTAATTTAACTTTGAAAATATTGCAGAAAAAATTTGAAGTCGAACTGCCATCTTGTCACTTATATGGTTCAGTATCCTCATTATCGTATTGCTGTGCAAGAACGGAAGAGGAAACGAAACGGTGGAAAAATGGAAAGTATCTTTTTAATTTGTTAAAAATATCAAATTCTCTTGCACACGAGAGAAAATGTTAGCCTGTTTTCACCACTTTTTTTAATTAATAGATTGGGACGACTTATCTGTGCGGTAGGACACGATGGAACAGTTGATGCTGTGGCAATGATGAAATCATCGGCGCATAAGCGGTTGTGTGTTTCCGGTGCTCGTGATCGTGCACTGATCATTTGGGATGTAGATACGATAACTGTTAGAGTTTTATTCAATTTTGACAGTTTTTCAGATCAAATTGTCTTTATGAATTTAAGTTCAGATTTCGTCCTTTTGATTGATATTATTTCTTCAATTTTTCTTTTTTTTTTTTTTTTTGAGACATTAGAAATGTTTTGTTACTCATTTGGAGACAAAGCTTAGTTTCCTTGTTTGTTGTGCCGAAAATTTATAAGCGGCTCTTATAAATTATTATATTATTTAGGTGCAAGCTTGTATTCTACTTATTTGAGCAGGTTGAACAGGTAGATTGTAAAGAATTTCTGTTAATGTTGTTTAAGAAGCTGGAAATATTCATTGTTGCAGGACGGGGTAAGAGGCGAAAACTGGAAACTATATGAATTTTCTGAAGCTCATCAGGTAATGGTGGTTATTTCTCTAATTTAAGAATCAAGATACAAGCAACTTGAGAAAATTCTGGCACCCAAACGAATCATTTTCTGTATGCATCTCTTGCCCGTCGTTAACTGTACGTTGAACATGATCTTAAAGACCAGTTTATAAACCTTCTAATATATAATGGTGCTTTCTGGAACAAGCACGTCATGCTTTGATCCTGCATTTATTACTCTTGCAGGACCATGAGGTTTAGATTAAGATTTTATGTGATTTACACAGCTTCACATAGTATGCAGGGATGGATATGGAGCGTATGCAAAGCAGATACAGATATGTTTTACTCCTGTGCATGGGATCGTTATGTCAAGCAGTGGCGAATCGTTGATGGGCATCTTAATGTAGGAATTTGATCAAGTCGCTATTATTTTGTGGTCCTTCCGATAGATAAAAGAATTTCTCTTTCATTTTTTCGATCCGCAGCAAAATTGCGAATAACATATAAGTTTATAAAATAAGCGAGAAAATCAGAATACTAAATAAATTACGGAATAAATTTATACTTTGCTATAATTATTGAATGAAAGGGACTGCTCGTTACATATGTACATAAAGTCAACAGAAAGGAACATGAGCTTTATAAAAGGAGGAAGACAAAGTGTAATCCAGAAGTGTAAATAAGAAAGAAATGCATGGCCTAGTTCAGTAATTGATTTCTACACGGTTACAAATTCATTTCTTTCAGGCGCTTTGTGATGTTCAGATGGGCTCTGCTGTGCTCTGTGTTATAAGTGATGGTACAACAGTTGTTTGTTCTACATTTGGAAGGAGAGTAGTTGTTATGGATGCACGCAATTCGTTGCAGAAAATCACTGATATGCTGTATCATCGAAGTGCTGTTTTCGATCTTGTTCAAATGGTAACCAATTTTTCAACTTCTGGATCTTTTATGGTTTCATGTCCACTGGTGTTCAGCTTTTCCATGCTGAATAATTTCTTGTTAAAGAAGTGAGTGTAAAAGTTTCTCACTTGTTTATTGTTAAAACTTCTATTGTAGACAGACAGCAATTACCTATATTCGTGTGGTGAGGATCGACGATTAGCATGTGTAGATAAACGCATGTGGGAAGTTGTGAATGATTTAGAACTGGGAGCTTATGCTCAAACTATGTCATTACGACAAGGACAACTACTTTGTGGAACCACTGACGGCAAGATGCTTACTATTAACCCAAGCGATTTAACAATTACCAACGTATGTTTTGTATGGATTATTTTTCAGGTAATTTAATATTACTGTGATAAAGAGACATTGGAAGGAATGGTCTGTTTCAGGAAGTGTTTGTTGGGAGTGGCGGTTTACGGCAGGTAAGATTGAACATTGGCAGCCAAATGTGCATTACGAAGGATCGCCTGTTTAAAGTGTTTACTCCTGGTTTACGCCCCAGATTGTTTGCTGAATCAGAAGTTTTCGATGCAGAACCATCCAGAGTAGATTCTATTTTAAACTGTAACAAAAGTATTGACAAGTAACATTAATTTGCATATAGTAGATTCAAGAAAAAATATTCTTTTATAATTTCTGTTTGATCTCATCGGAATATGGGACTGATTTTCAGTTCGATTATTACGATGATGATTTGGTCATTGCTTGCGGTGACGGATCCGTTTTTTTTTGTGCTACGTGAAATACTTCAATGCAAAGCAATTGATTGCGTGTCAATTCATTAGTCATGCAATTTTGTCGAGAATTCTCTGTTCACCTTGTTTTTTTCCAGTTCTCTCCGAAAAATTTGATCCATTGGAGCTTCGAAATTTTTCTGGAAGGTAAATTTGAGCCTTTTTAAGTGATGTTAATCAGAAAACTTAAATAATTGGAAGGTAATTGTTACGTTTCCCATAGAAAATGCTTTGTTTATTTTTGATCTCTTATTTTTAATCGCGCCTTCATATGTCATATAATTCTTTAATGACCCATTGTCAAAAGTGTAAACTTTTAACAAATATCTTGTTTTTCCCGTTTTCGAAAATCATTTTTAATCATAGAACACATAGAACAGTTCTTCACGAATGCATTTTTATAATCTTTCCATGTGTGTACATAAAAAGGGAAATCTCCAATGGTGAAGCGACAGTGGAAAGTGAAAATTACAGGTGGTGATGCGATTTATTTCATCATTCCTATTTGCAGTATCTGGGTAATAAGAGCTGATGAAAACATGATGAAATATATTTACGTTATATTGTAATCGAAATGACACTATTATTTTATGTTCAAAACATTGAAGGCATCATATTCGATTTACTGAAAATGATATTTACCTCTTTTATTACGTTATGGTTTTCTGACCTGATGTTAGAGTTCGCATGTTTTTTGAACCATAATTTTGTATCTTGATGCTTCCAAAATAGGCATTATGCAACAATTTTAAACATAATTTTGGTACTAGCCTCTATAATCAGACAAGATTTTCAAATGTAGTTTTCCATTTCATTTCCTTCATGCACTTTTCTTGATCTCGGATTTTATTTCTGGAGATTTTCAACACCGAGTGATATCTTAATGTGATTTGATTTCAGGTTTCATATGTAGGTATGATTCCTGACTTAAACTTTTCGTTTGTACTTACTATGGATACGGGATTTAGGTGTTAAAAATTTATTCTGCGCACTATTTTTTCCAGCTGAGGTTGTCCAGCAACCATTTTGATGTGTGAGATGATGTCGTGATTTTGTCATATTGGTTATCATGTCTTGTATAGTGCTTATTAGTATATACGCTGTGTTATGAAATAAAATCCCATATGGAATGGGAAATTTTCCGTAATTTAATTAGGAAAGTCGATTTGAGGCAGCTTCTTTGCTGACATAATTTTGCTGTTCCTTCAGGAAGAAAGTTGAAGAACATGAGGCACAGTGATACTTTGAAGTTTTTCCTGAAAGGAAAAAAAGCGATTGTTAGGATGTTTTCACTGAAACACTATTGGCATTTTTTCTTCGTTCATACTTTTCTGCTGGAAGAGTTTCATCAATAGGTAAGTGGAACGATTACAAATCTTTTGTGATGTAGAGGGTTTCAGTATTTGATTTGGTTTCAATATTTGATCCAGACTTTCAATATTTGAGTTAGTTTTAAGGAAATCCTCTAGAATACAACGAGATAGTTAGCAGGCTATTTGATAAAGCAATTTAAAACGGCGGAACTTTATTTCGCGTCATTTTTACTCATTTTTAATCTGAGGAATCATTCCACTAAATTTCCCCTTTCCTTTGCTGGACTTTCATACTATGAAATGCGTTATATGTGGAAGAATTCAATTGTTGATGCAAGCAGTTGGATGTTGTTTGTGTTCGGAAAATAGGAATGCCAATAATGTTTCTTGAAAATTGTTAAACTTTAGCTCAATTTATTAAGGGTTTAAGAATATCGAGTGGGCAGTTTAAAATAGTTCGGGAAATTTTATTACTTAATTGCAATTAAAAAGTGTTCCATGTTAATAACAAGACAAATCTTTTATTCGCACATTAGCGCACATTGTTCCATTTTTTTTTTTTTTTTTTGCTAAAACCTAGCAGAAAGTAAAACGTTTTAGAAATTTATGTGTACAGTTTTGTTTGCCTTTTCACCGGTAGAGCGAGATTTTGTGAATTGGTTAATGGTTCATCCAAGTTATGAACTTGACGATGGACAGCGTTCTAATGACCACATGTATTTGTGAAACTGTGAACTAGTTTTCCTCAGAAATGAATTCATAATTTCAAACAAGTTTTTCTCGATAATGAATTCATAAATTTCTTCTTCATAAAACTTGTCATGGTTTAAAAGTCTAGCCATCTTAGAACAGTTTACTTTCATTCATTTTGAAGTTTTTAATCCCTGACTAAAAATGTGGTATACAGTTTACATAATTTGTTAGACTGGAACTAAAAAGAGAAGAAGGAAAAAAATAGTGAAATGGTCAGTAACTGTAATTCGCAACAAAATTGCAAAAGTTTTGAAATCTTTTTAACAATCTTATGCTACCTTTTGTTGCCTGAAATGATGCTGAACAGAAATTAATTTCATGCAATTCAATAAAATGTCGGCAAAATGCTATAGAACAGAAGTGCTTAGCAAAACATGTTTTACAGATATTTTTCAACGAATGATTCATTTTTGGATTTTTCATTGAATGCAATAGAAGCTGGAAATTTATCAAATATTTTCAAGAAAACCCGCAAGATTTACTTGGTAAAGCATTTCCTTTACTTTAGCATACGATCATAAGTAAGTGAACGGTAAAGTTCAACGAAAAATGAACCAATGAAGTTCTTTATATTGTCATTATCCATCTATTTTCGAAGAAATTTTCCTTACTAAATTATCCTTCAGCCCATTATTTCATCAAGATAAGTACTATATCATTCATCAATTATCATAAAAGTGATAATTGATGTTTTGTACACGAAAACAGTTTTTTTATTTCATTTCATTCACTGCGTATCTTATAACAATTATAAATATTTCTCGCTTTCTAAAAAACTCGAAATTTCAAAAATTTCGAAATCACATTTATTTCACTTCACCATTATTTATTGCTTAAATTGCAACTAACACGAACAATTATTCCAATACTATTTTGATCAATCGATAATAACTTCATCATTTATTCTAATTTTTTAGCTAAATTTGGTCTTTTTGAAGTGAAAAATTATACTTAAGTATGTGGAATGTAATTTTGATGATTTCCTGCAAGTATACCTCAGTCAACGCAAATAGCATTTTCGACCTCCATTATACCGAAAACCCCGCGGGATCCTTTCAAATGTTAAAAAGTATAATCATCTGGATGATACATCCAACCCCGTATCCGATGGCATGTTTTGTTATCGGACATCTCACTTCCTCCACGGTAATCATCAAAAATGCAACGGCCACCTTCTGACATGTTATATACATACACACGAATTCTGCAAGCATGCACAATGCTGATATAAGCTTTTAGGGTGGAAAATTTTTCCAAAAAAAGAGTCTTATTCTGATATTATTAACGATTTTAGACCATGTCTTTTTATCTAACAAATTAATGGTCAAATGAAAGACCAGTATTGCAAAGGGAAGTAATTAATCATATAAGCATGAAAGAAAAAGGAAAAGTAGTTAGCTAATTAGATGAAAGCGTAAACTATTCTCTGTTTAATACCACCAACATGTAAAATGTGAAGTGAAGTTTGGTGATAAATTAGATATTCCATTGACGGAAGATATAAAATGAAACTGATGGGTAACATTACTTGCACCCTTATCTAGGACCTGGGATATTTGCTACCTCTATTCCGTTTTATTTTCCGTACAATCCAATTAATTCAAAAACAGCGCTTTTGGATGTCCTTTCATCCGTTTAATATTTCAATGAAATTTTGATATGATCGTTGCATTCCATGGATTGACTAAGCTCAGTTTTGAAATATGAAGTAAGCATTCTCAAACTAAAGTGGGTATAAGTTGATTGACTGCATAACTTTGATAAGGCTCTCTGGTCCAGCCAAGTGTTCAATTTTTAAGAGAAAAAGCAAATTTCAGTTTCATTAGTCAATAAATTGTTTTCAAACAGTTTTGTAAAATCCGTTAAAGGATGAAATTCTATTTCTGGTTTTCTCCAAATCAACATCATTTTGGGAAAACACACATTCAAAAACATCAATGAAATTTGATCAATCCGTTAAAACTGCTTATTTATGGTTTATATTTCCTTCATTTTTCACATTAAATGTTTGAAATAATTCCTCATTTTTCGTCTTTTCTAATTCTATTTTTAGATTAGTTGGTAAATATACATTTGCAATGCACTGAAACATCAGTAAGTGTGACAGCATGACAAATTGTGAGATTATAGATAAAAAGCAAACTGTTTCATATGGATGTTTTCCTACAGATTTGTGTTTCTACTTTTCATTCTGCACACCCTCCCTCATACCACTTTTTTAGTAAGCAGAATTTCGATAATACAGTCCGAGGAAATTAGCTGGGGACAATTATCGCGATGGCAATATATTTTCAATTTTTACTTTCTTTTAGGACAAGGGAAAAAGAAAACTCCTTTCCAACAAGTCTGTGAATAAGCTAGGATGTATTAATTGAATATTCAGACAAATGAGCAGGTGTAGAAGCACTGGCACCATTTTATTACATTAATATATAGGACTGTTTGTCACCCAAATAAAAACAAACAAATGATCTATTTCTTTTTCATTCGCTTTCAAAACAGTTGAGCATCTTGAAATCGAAATGGAATACATCCAATTATAAAATCTTTCTAAATATATTTGGTGGATCTTCAATAAATGATGTGACGGTAGACAATGAAAAAAATAAAATTATTCAAAATAATAAGACAAGGCAGGAAGATACAGATGTCATGAGACCCGAGAAGATAAAACAGATTATTAACGCATCCGATTTCCTCACAGAGTTCGAGCTGATCCTGAACGCCGATCAAAACATTTACGGAAATGCTGAAGAAAGGAAACGACAATTCAATCGAGTAAAATTAGTGATTGATCTGCGTATGAGACAATGCCTTTCCATGTATGATCGTATGAGAAGAAATATTGAGTGGAGATTAAAAATATATAAGTATCCATCGCCAAAGATAGTTTTTGAAATTACACATTCTCAGGCCGAAAGTTCATCTTTCAAAGATTACCCTCAAATTCCAAAAAAAATGACCATAGCATTTCATTCTGTGTACATTTTCAAAAGTACAAGATTGCTATTTAGAATAACTGTCGTTTAAAGAGTGTTAGTAGCCAAAGGATGAGTGAGGACATCTTGGAGACAGCTCTTATGAAAAACTGGAAGCAGTAACAGATGGAGGAATTATTTGCAGGTAAACAAGCAGATGGGAAAGGAGACACTGGTAGAAACTGTTTATTGCAGTTTAAGGCAATGTTTCAGTATTTCTCCCGCATCAATACACATTAAATTCTTGTGGATATAGCAGATAGTGGGATTTTGAAGAGATAGATTGCAATAATATTAAACTATCAACAGAATGCTGAGAAATATCGGGATTTGAAGGAGTATTTTGGGAAGACTTCAGAGAGTTCACAACTAAAGAGTCACTGATTACCAGTCACTAAAGAAGAATTTCCTGAATTCTTCCCGCTGTACTTCTATTGTGACTTCTTCCGGGTGTTCCAAGGAATGCTGGCAGTGGCACAAAATGATTATTATTGTAGCTAATTGACTTGCGCAACGACATAGCTACATTCTTTCCTTTCCGCCAAACGAACGGCTCCGCCTATAGGGATTTTTGAACCTGCCCGGTTCTTACAACGACAATCGGCTCTATGTATCGTTTTCAGAGGACGTGTCCGGGGTGACTTCGGAGGAGTGGGATGGGTAGCTTCTAGTTCATTTTGTTTGCTTTATTTTTTACCGTATTTCTTTTACTTAATTCCCTTATTTACTCATAATTTAAACTGAAGGATCAGCGCAATGATTTTCTCTATTCGGGTTATACAGAGGAAGTTGATGGAAATGGATCAAACTTAAGCCTGCACCAGGAAAAATCGAGAGTGATCGAGTTCAATGATAGATCTGTTTAGCATTGGTAGAAATTTCCTAATGCGTAAAAGAACTGCTTTTTTTAGCTTAGGATCTTTATTTCCCCTCTACAGAGCTACTTGACGAATAGAGCTGTACACTTTATGTTACTTCTCGTTTCACATTTCTATAATTTCTTTTAATGTCCATTAGTGCAGATTGGACACTGACCATATTACTCATCGATTCAATAAAAGACACCCATATAAGTTTGTTAGGATATATTTTGAATAAAGCTAATTTCATCGATTTATCGTGTTTTTAATTGAGAGCCTTTTGCATAATAAAGTATATATAAAGGAACATATGATGAAGCAGAAGTAGTTCCGAAGAAAAATGAGTACAAAATCGCTATCACTAATTTCGATTGAAAATTATATCTTAGATGGAATCAATTTTTCCAGCATTTCTTTAATTAACTTTTTAGAAGCAATTTTTGAAAATGTACTGTAACAAAAGTTTCTTGATATAACAATTTAAAGATTTCTTGGTTGAAATGAGATAAATTTTGTTACCGGGATTACTATGTAGCGATTACAACCAAAGGGATTTTTTCTTTTTCAACTAATGAATGAATTTGAAAATAAGCTTCTGTAATTGTTTTATTCATATGACAGTAGTTAACCCTTCCAAATATTTATATTTCTAGGTTTCTGATTGGTAGCCAGGCATACTGATTAATGGTCAAGAATTGGGCCAATAAGTAATGAATTGGAAATAGATATTAATTCTTTATCTTAATATATGTTCTTGATTTGAGTTATCGAATTTAAATCTCGAAGATTATAAAATTTGATATATTATGACAAACGTTTGCGGCAAATTTTTGTCCTGTTCCAAAGTTTTCCTTTGTCGCCATTTTCCAAAAGTCAAGATTTTGAAGCAGTTCATAATGGAAAGGCTGTGCAGGATTTAGACTTCAACTGATTTCACTTTTTTCAGTGTGCGGATTTGAAGCTGAAAATTTAAAGCCAGATTTAAAGCTGAAAAAAAAGAAAAAAAAAGCTTTAGAGAACAGCTTTAGAGAAGCTTTAGAGAAGCTTTAGAAGCTTTAGAGAACATAAAATTTTTTGCATAGTCGAGCAAGGTACTAATAGTTCTGCTGCTTTAAAGGATTTAACTTTCAGCGCTTTCAGTCGTCAATAGTTTCAGTTTCAGTTCCAGTCGTATGTGGGTGAAGAGACAATGACTCTAAGTACTTCTTAATTAGTATCTTTGCATTTATCAGCTCCAGTTGCTCCCTTCCAGACCATAACGAAAGAGTGTTAAGGTAAATGAAATTTGAAAAATTGGAGATGTTGGAAGGCAAAAAACGATAACAATATTTTGATTCTGCAGTATAATAACAGTCTGATGATAGCATAGATTTTGTCTAGGCTTTGTGCATGTAAACTCTTGAGATTCGGTTGCGCAGTCTCTTTTTTAGTGCGAAAATAAGTCACCAAGTTCGAGGTGAAATTCCTGAATTTGCCTTGAATAAATCTGATGGTCATCATTATATTATTATTTAGAACAAAGAAATACTTTTTCCCTTTCGATATTTTCAATTTTCTTTCAAATTCACTTCTCATCTCTCAGAGCTGTTTTGTTTATGCTATGCCGGAACTTTTTACTTCAGGTTTTCACACAGATTCCCTCGTCATTTGCGTTGGGTTATGCTTATTTGTAAATTGGCTAATACTTTGATAAAAATTCTGTGAGAATGAGTCATTAATTTCTAAATGGAATCCATAAACAATGAATGTCATACTATTTTGGTTTGAAAGGCTCTATATATAAATTCATTGTAGCGTCGATATAAAAAAACTCTCCAGAAATTTTAGGGGTTAATTAAATTACCGAAGGACCTTCATTATTAAGTTCCCGTTTCCTGGCCGATGCTGGAAATCCCAGTATTCATGAAATACCTATCGACTTGAATAGTTGGTGAGATCGGATTGAATCTTCATTAGTCTAGTTTTTGGCAAAATTTGAACATCGGGTCATAAAGTTATTTATCTTTAGCTCTACTTGCACTTCTTGGCTTAAACTATTGAATAATCATGGTATTATGATTTATTAGGAATCTCGAATCGAATCCGAATCCATCCGAAGTGTATCTTTCCGCGTTTTTAAAACTTTTCAAACTTGAATTTCGTTTCAGACTGAAATGTAAAATGAATATTCATTTGTAGCCAATAGAGACATATTCCTAGGAAGAGGCTAAAAAAATGCACCCTCAAAGCTCAACAGATTCGGTATTATTATCTCAGCGTTCAGTATTATTCTCTCCCCTATCTACAACTAGTTCGCTTATAACATCACGCTCAGTGGAATTTGCAATGGAAAAAGTGTTTCATGCAATGGAAATGGGTAATCATTCTTGATCGTACAACATATCAAGTCATAAATTCAAAAATTTAATGACAGATCAAATTTAATATGACGTAGAAGTAGCTTGTAACTGGATGAAGTGAAACTGTCCTTGTTAGCGTTTAACAGTTGGCAATAAGTTGTTGACTTTTTAGGTCATAACGTTTACAAACTTCTGTTGATGAAACGACGGGATCCAGCACAAAAAAGGTTGACTTATAACCGTGAGACAAGGCAGCTGTTTTTGTCAAAGCTAGATAATTCTGACAAGGTTAAAATTCATGCTAAAGATTTTTTGTGTGCTTCATGGGTCTGTATTTTTTCATTCTGTCTGACTGCATTATTTCTCAGATTTTGCCCTTCAAAATAGTTTGAAAATTTTTGATGCAGGATCTTAACATAGTTTATAACAGAGGTTGAAAATTGAATGAAATTAGGTAAAAATGTGATGATGATTCTAAAATGATAGAGGCGATCCAATAGAAAAGCATAAAACAGTCTTTTTGATACGGTGTCATCTCAGTAATATTAAAAGTACTCTATTAAAAGCTTTAGTATTTTCAGTAAACTTAATGAAATAAATGAAACTAACTTTACAGAATGAAGAAATCATTTGTATTATTGACTTTCTTGTATTGACTTTCTCTTTATAATACTGGCTTTCTTGTGAATGCAAATTGCATTTGGTTTCAGAGTAGCAGTAAAACTCTGCGATTAGATTTACGAGTAGTGAAGGAAGTGCATACACTTGATTATAAACTAAGAAAGATCAAAATCGGCGACAAGTGGGAAAAGGACAAAGAATTCAAACAGTTTGATGCAGCTAGAATATTAGTTCTAAGTTATGCGACGAGTTTCAATTTGCGGTATTGGATTTTGTTATGTGAGTATCTGCATTTTGCTATTTACGGAAATATAGTAGCATTTTAAGTATTCGTGATAATATGCTGGTAATACGAGATTTCGTAAAATTTTGACAACTTAGGAATAATTAAGCTTGTTGTTTTTCTGTTGTAATGCTATTTGTAATGGCATCAAATTACTGTAATAGCGAACTTGGGCAGTTTTCTTTTTTTTTATTGAAACTGCTTGCAATTATTAAAAAATAAGTTTCCTTAGTCGATACGGAAGAGTTATGTCGAATGTGGTGTCAGGGTGTTCACCACTTGATGCTGGATACAATTTCTGCTTGTCATGCACTTCTCGTGGAACGATGGCTCAGGAAAGAGTTCTATAATATTGCTGGTTATGGTCTCGAAAACCCTTGGTAAGCTTGAATCTAGTGCTGTTTACATATAAACGGCAAACTTGTAGTTTTTTTATATTGCGATCAGAAAGTCGTTAGTCGCATGTTGCATTATTCAAAATGTGAAAGCAAGTAACTCATTCATGGTCTGATATCAGTTGTGGCTATACTGAGGTCGTGGGATGATCGGATTACTTTTGTCAAAACAGTGAGAAGGCAATTACTAAGGCACTTGTATAAGTGGATTTTTTAAGGACAAGGGGTGGGCAATTAATTTTTTCAGGGGGCCACATGAGAAATTTGAATAGTTTTCGAAGCCGGATTAATATACTTAACTCAGTTTTACCCAATGCCATATCCATATACGTATATATACTATCCCTTCATAAAAAACAGTAAATGAAACATTGTGATGGATTCACTGAAAATGTGATGGGCTTAATTATATCATTATTTAATGTCGAGATGACGAACTTGTGATGAAAGATCAATGGACTTTAACACTGGAGGGCTTTGATTTAAGGTAAGGAAAGAGCGACGGTAGGCTTTTCCCGCGGCTCTGGGGGCAGAAAAAGCTTGCTGGAGGACCGCGTCCGGCCCGCGATGCTCAGATCAGGTTTATGATATGCCAGTATGTTTTGAAATAAATGATTTTTATTTTTTAATACACTAGGATTTCTTATCATACTACCATCATGTTCATGTTTATTCAGTTTGCAGCGTAGCGATGAAACACATGAAGCCTTTCGTGCATACTAGTTTGCAGTATAAGGTACAATCAAAACAATTGCAAGAAGTCTGTGAGGCAAGTTATTTTATTGTATAAAAGGTTTATCAACTCAGTTTGGGGCATTTTTTACCGACTTAGTTGCAAAAAAATTATAAAGATTTTTATCGAGATTTGGCATCCTTTACTACTATAATCGAGCATTTTTGGCTTTGTTTCAGGACATAATGTATTATGATACTTTCGCAATTGCTTATCGCAAACTTTTGCATTCTAATTCTGTAAGTTGCGGAGCTTCGCCTTTTTTACTTTTTAAACAATTATTTCACTTCTTGTTCATCGCAGGTACTTTCTTGAAGTCCCTCTTTTGTCTCACTGTCGTTACAGTTACACTCATTATTCAAGATTTGTTCAGAACCTCCGTTTTTCAGCTCGATTAATCCTAGGCCAGTTGGTGTTGATTTAGCCTTGCATTCTTCTTCGGCTTATATTAAGCTCTAATCAAATCGTTCTCTTATTTTAAAACTTATCTGTTATATTTCCATCATGTTCACACTTTCAAAAAGTGCTTACGATTTTTGCAGCTTTTCGCAGAACATTTTGCAGCTTACTCGGATGATGCGGCTGTTGTCAGCTTCAACAATTTCCTGCGGTTTCACAAGGATAAACAAAATGTGGGTAACAGTAAGCATTTTTGCTTTACATCCTCTTTCGCGAAAATTCATTGTGGCATTCCGTTGACGAGAATGTTATGCATGAAATAAATCGATCACTAAGTCATTATTGGAATGCTTCATCACATACTACGTTAATTTTGTTTTTGTGCTAAATCTAAAAGCAACGGCGCATAACCTGCTTCCATCTTAATGAAGTATATTTTTGAATCTTTAATTATTATGGAGTCTATTGCTATCTAAAATTATTATGAAGTCTATTGCTATCTAAGACCATAAATACTAGTGTACGTTTCGTCACATTAACATGGGATGAAATTTTCAGGATGAAATAGGGATGATGCGCGAAAGAGCCAGTGATTTTCTTAGGCATTTCTTAAGGGAATGGGATCCATATAGAGATGTTCCTGAACCAACCCTTAGCGTGACTGAAGTACGATTTCTTTCCACCAAATTTTTATAATTTTGCTCGAACTGTTCATTATGTAATTAATCTATTGGGATTATTTTAATAGTGATTTCGTAATTTCAGTTTCTTTTTCCATACATGGTATCATTTTAATCAGATGTTTTATTAATTTTATTGTCTAAAGAAAGATTTTTGTAGTTTTGCGACTTCCTCTTCTCTCGCGAAAATTCACTATGGGATTCTGTTAACGAGAATGTTATACATGACATGAATCGACCACTAAGTCACTACTGGATTGCTTCATCACACAACACGTTAATTTTGTTTTTGTGCTAAATGTAAAACACTTTGTTATACTGTGGGTTGAAAATTGGATTTAATTTCATCGAAAATTAGTATAAACAGTTATCAAATAGAATAATGCGAAAAAGCTTACATGAACAAAATAATTTTAGATATCTTACCGGTGATCAACTCAAGAGTGAATCCTCGTTGGATACGTATGCTCGAGCTTTGCTTATGGGCTGTAGATGTGTTGAACGTATGCTTTTGTTCTGTGTAACTGATAGATATGTTGAATGTATGCTTTTGTTCTGTTGAATTGATATTGATGATTATCTGCTTGATTGGATAGAAGGAAAATCTAATGAAAAACATAAGATTTTGGGTTTGTTTTAGTTACATAGTGACCAATAAAAGAGACGATAAAGTAGAATATGTCGATGAGTAGAGCAATTATCGGACTTGATTTCCTCTAATTCGTAATAGCAAATATTTAAAAGTTTCTTTTTTTGTTTTGAAAACAAAAAACGCTTAAATATAAATAATTTTTTTTTGGAAACAAGAGACTTTTTCCTTTGAAAACAAAAAAGACTCAAATTTTTCTTTTATAAACAAAAAAGACAAAAGAGTGTAACATTTGAAAATAAAAAAGAAACTTAACATTTGAAAACAAGAAAGATTTAAATACAATTGGAGGAAAATTAATAAATTGAATGTGATCAATAACGTAACACTTAAATCTAGTTTTCTGTTCCTACCATATTTTCAGTCGACTGCTGGGATGGACAAAAGAGAAGTTCAGGTGAAATACAAGATATTGTTATTTACCATGGTTACACAATGACTAGTAAAATCAATTTGCGCGATGTGCTTTACACCATTCGTCATTACGCTTTTATTAACAGCGAGTAAGTTTGGATAAATAGTGTTGAATCGTGTAGAACAAACACCATAGATGCTTCTGGTGTCTTTTAGTTTAGAACTTTCAGATATCTGAGCTTTTGTATTTATAATTCTCTGCTTTACTTATAATAAAAGCCAAGGTTTGACTGTATTGAAAATAACACTAAAAACTCTTGTAAATTAATTCAGGTTTCCAGTGATTCTCTCGATTGAAGACAATTGTTCAGTACCGGTACAACGGTTGCTTGCTCGTGAAATTAGAGAAATTCTTGGTAATTATTTACTCACAGCTCCAGTTAGTCGTGAAGAAACTTGTTTACCATCTCCGGCAGCTCTGAAGCGAAAAATTATCTTGAAGCATAAGAAACTGCCGACGGAAAGTGAAAATATTGCTTCACAGCAAACTGATGAGGGTGATTTTTTAACTTTGTCCTGAATGCTTCCTTAGTCCACACTTCAATGTTCTTGCAGTTTAGTTGTACATATTTATTAATAATATGTTTGTGCTTTGAAAGAAATGGCAAATTTTCGAAAAGAATTCATATATAATTTAAAATTGGAACAAATATATATATGTAAATATGCATTGTGTTTCACCTTGACTATTTATCATTTGTTGCTCAAAATATTTATACTAATATTCTGTGTCACGAGAAAATGGAGAAAATGTTGATAATATTCGAAGACAGCATAATTAGGAGACTTCAAAGTTTGTTTGAAAAAATTCAAGGTTCATTCAGTCCTTTATTTTGTTTTTTAGATCAAGAACAGGATTTACTTTCACTGAATTTTACTCGGCAAGGAATTCTGTCATTGAAAAGTGGTGTAAACGATGTAGGTTGCTACAGTTTTCGTATGGGAACACTATAAGCTTAGCCGTTTTTTTCTTTTTTTAAATGATTTACAGGAGGATTGGTTGAGTATTTGGTGCTGTCATTCCGTGTTTTTCTAAACATAAGTTTTTGGTTTTTGGTCTTGCAAATCTGAGCACTTAAATATCATTTAGGAATGGACAACTCACTTATTTGTATTGTTTCCGGATCGTTTGTGTTATATGCTGGAACAGTGCGAAAGTAATTTCAATAATCAGGGGATTCTGAGACGTCAAGATTCACTGGGGAACGCACAGGATGATGAAAATCAGGTGATGTGTTTAGCGAGTTATTGCGATTTATTTTCCGTGAAAGATTTCTCCAGTAGTGAAGTAATGCAACAGTTCTATTTTTCCTATTTATAAATTTCATTACAGGATGGTTTGACAAACTTGACAGGTTTCGTTGTACCTCAAGAAGAAATGCATGTTACAGAAGAATGGTTTCATGGCAAAACAGATCGAGATACAGCAAGAATGCGTCTTTTGGAACACAAAGATAAAGGCAATGGTCTTTTTTTGGTTCGCGATTCAACTATTTTCATTGGCGACTACTCCTTATCGTTTCTGTAAGCGTCTTTTAAAACTAGACGAAACACAATATTTTTTCTTAGTTGTTCCAGAAATCTTCATTAAGAATTGTTGCTAGATAGCTGATATTCGTAAGATAAAGCTGAAGACCTTAATTTCGGATATTTTTGTTAGACTTAAATCAAATGAAAACGAAATATATGTCATACCAATTTTAGGCATAATGAGAAAGTACATCACTGTCGAATACGCACCAGGATGGTGAATGGTGAAAGAAAATATTATTTTTTGGAAAATAAGCAAATGGATACACTTTATGAGCTTATATCGCACTATACGAAGGAAAGATTGAGGACACCGAATTTTAGCACAACACTGGTCACTCCATGTCCGCAGCCTTGTCCTCATCTCGGAATGATGTAAGTTTTGAATTAAATCTGTGGAAACATCTTTGGACTGCTTAAAATTATTTATTTTTGGTATTTAAATATCACATCGATATTCTTATATCTTGAGTACCTAATATCAGTCAGTGAAGACAGTATTAGTTGAAGCGTGATTCACGTTTTGTCGAATGCTGTGGAAATCTTTTTTGTGCTCAAGGAAAGAAAAAGCGAACGTAGAGAAGTCAACTATAAAAAGCAAGACTCTTGCAAACTCTATCATATAACTCAGGGACATATCATAAGACGTTGTGTTTATTGTTCAGATGGTTTTGTGAGAAAACAGATAGAAATCGTGCCGAAGAACTTCTGAACACGGTTCAACAAGATGGGGCTTTCTTGCTGCGCTTCAGTTCTACTGATAAAAATGTTTTCGTGCTTTCTCTAAGGTATGCGCCAGCTAAGTTTTTAATTTATTCATCTTGTTGAAATGCTTTTACTTTTTCCTATTGGCTTGCAAAAATTATTGTTTCACTGCTTGGTGGAATTAAAAGCAGTGTTACATTTATAGAGTTGACGGCGAAATATGGCATTACCATTTGAAACGTGATGGTCGAATTTTTGTTGTCAACCAGACACTTTTCGAGAATTTGAATCAAATAGTTGAATTTTATTCAACAAGAGAATTCGTTCATGGAATATGTCTGAAATATCCCGTGGGTGAGAATACTATTACTGATTCTACAGGTGCATGGTTTAGTGCAGATCGAGCACCTGGTTGTTATATGGAACTCAAGGACATTGATAAAGAGGTAAATGGGAATGATTTTATTTAATGAAGCACGGAATTTTCAGAGTTGCTTATATTTTCAAGAGTTAATTTTCAGAATCACTTACGAATTTATCATTTTTATTGGGTTCATTTGATTAGTTTTCGATATCCTCAGTTCATACCTTGAGAAGACAGCTTTGTTCGTAAATGAACAACTTCTGGAAAAATTGTACATTTTTAATTGGGCAAGCTACTCAATTCAAGCATTCGGTTAATCACGAATATGCAAGTCGAAAATCTGAATGATTGCCAAGGATCCAGGGAAAGAGAAGCTATAAAAATTCGTATATTCAAAGCATTCAATAAAAATGGATTACTAATAGTATTTTGATATTTCTGTATAATTTTTTTTTCTCGCATTTCTAAAAAGCACTATCGAGCAAATGGAAAGTGAGTGCATTTAATTCATATTTTGATCTTTATTTTCCACTTTTTCAAATACTTCCATTACATAAAATATTCCTGTTGTAGCTTAGCAAATATAATGCACTTTCAGATATTGGTTCGGGCTATTGAGCCGTACAATGGATCTCTTCCCAGCGAGCTTTCATTCCCTATAAATGCAGTGATAAGAGTATTCAGAAAAGACGGTGATCGGTAAAGGTTTTCTAAAGTCAAAGCTTACATCGTTTAATTTAGAAATCTTGATTTGAAGCCATCTTGTACTAAAATAATTTCGAGATTGGTGGACTCAAAGTTGGAATTTATAAATTTATTTTGCAGCTGGCGTGGCAAATATGGCATTCATTCAGGTTTCTTTCCTTCTCGATGCGTTATTGAACTGGAAAATTCTGATAATATGTCGGTATGTTTGTTTATAAAACCTCGAAAAAATGCATGTTTTTCTCAAATGAACTTTAAAATTTTTCTCAATTTAGATTATGCCTGTTGACCGATTTGGCAGTTTCAATATTTAGTATAAGCTTTTTAGAATGAATTGAGCGTTTATGCAGCAATCGATTTGGCTGATTCTTTGATTGAAGAAGTACCGTTTGAAGTTGCTGGTCGACCGTTTGCATTTAAAATTAGACGTGTTTCAGCGCACTGGAATCCAAGCGTATATTAGTTTTTCTATTCATAACTTGACATTTGCTCACAGTTAAGGTCTGATGTCTTGGCTTCAATAAAATTAAATTGATTCTTTTGAATTCGAATTATGATTCATTTAGTGGTCATCTCCAGGAATATGTTTTGGCAGCTAATTCAAATGAAGATCGTGAAGACTGGTTAAATATTCTGCACGAGCTGACTAGAACAGCTACGGATCGCAATACCTTGATACGTACACGAGAAAAGAATTTGCGAATAGCTTCTGAATTGTCTGATTTGGTGGTTTACTGCCAGGCTGTCCCTTTCAATTCACAATTCGCAAGTATATTGTCGATATTTATTGGTCTTATAGGATCTAATGCTAAATTGAAGCTGAATAGCCTCCCAATAGTCTTCTCAGTAAATAAATTCCATCTTGTTATAACAAATGTTTAGTTGTCCCAAAGTTTAATGGTAAAAGTGAACTGATAAGAAAAAACAATCTAAAATTATGGAGATATTAAGCATCATATCGACTGTATCATATAAAATATATGTCTTATTTAACGTAAATATCACCTTGAGTAGTGAATTAAGTAAGAGAAAAGGTGTACCATGTTAAAAGTCACTCGAATTTATAGTTTTGAGGCATCCCGTATTTTGGACCTTCAAAGTTCATTGTTTTTAGTCCTGTGTCAGAGCAGTTCAGAAAGTAAACTTAAATGTGAATTTATATCTAATTCCTGAAATGCTATTTACGTGTACCACAAAATTTGTGTAGCGCTCTTGAAGAAGACAAAAATTGCTGAAAATTTTGCAGCACAAGGCAATTTCTATGAGATGTGCTCGTTCAGTGAAACAAAATTCGAGAAACTGATGGAACGAGGTTTAGTTCAGTTTAATTCTCGTCAGTTGTCACGTGTTTATCCGCAAGGTTCACGTGTTACTTCTGCAAATTATGATCCGGTACCGATGTGGAATGCCGCATGCCATATGGTTGCACTGAATTACCAAACTGGCGATAGGGTTAGTGCTCGACATTCTTATAATATACTTAGGAGATGAAGTGGTAAGGTTGTTTCATCTCCATAGCTTCCTTATTTAGCACGTAATTTTTAAAATCTTCCCTGTTATAAGCAATAACTTTTCTAATACTGAAAGTGATTGTCCTTTATGTATAGTTTACTTCAACTAGTTTATAACACATCTTTACCCATCTTACAGATTTGTTATGCATGACATTTTTGACTCTTGGGAAAGTTGTTTACTTTTTCAAAAAATAGGCAATATGGAGTGATAAAGTCTTGTCATTTTTCCAATAACCATTTTGAATATGTTTTACAATCCTTCTGAAAACATTTTTCTTTGGCTCATGAATTTGTGACATTTTTCATAATTTGATTTACTTCATTATTGTTCTTTTAATGCTTGAATCTGAATGAAACTCTAACATATGTTTCTGCAGTCGATGCAGCTAAATCAGGGTAAATTTATGGCAAATGGTCAGTGTGGATATGTGCTGAAACCATCTTATATGATCGATGAAATGTTTTCTCCAGATGCTGCCGAAGTAGTGTCTACCTCTTGTCCAATCATTCTTACTGTTCATGTAAGCATTCGTTCGCTGTGCTATTGGTCCGGGAGATTTTAAATTTCTAAGCTAGACGAACCATCATTCTATAATTAGTGTCGTGGAAGCGCATTTTTTCTTTAGTTTAGATTTTGGATATTAATTGACCTAGTTTTGGAATCAGTCAGGTTTGTAGGTAAAATCGAAACTAGCCTTTGATGCTGGTAAAAAAAGGAAGAAACTTAATATTTTCTGCAAAATCGATATTTTTAAGAGTTATTCAGGTAATAGCAGGACAGCATTTGTCAAGGAAAGATAGAAATCGAGGTATCTGTTCTCCAGTTGTTACTGTAGAAATTGTCGGTTTGCCGGCTGATTCATCCACTATTCGAACACGAGCTATTGGTAGGTTTTTTTTTTTTTATGGCGAGGAGATAGGAAAAAAGCTCTGAAAATTTAGGCGATGACTTTGTTGTCGTTTATTCCGGCAGGTTATAAATTCAAATTTTAAATTCATTCTTGAATTTAAGTTCAGCTTCCAATGGCCTGAATCCTGTTTGGAATGAGAAATTCAGCTTCAAAGTTTACTGTCCAGAAATAGCTTTACTTCGCTTATATGTTGAAGATGGTGATTTTATGGGACCCAAAATGGATCCATTTATTGGACAGGCTGTGTATCCACTTGACTGCATTCGCACTGGTGTGTCTTTTTTCATTTCATTTAGATTTAAATTGCCATTTAATGCATTGCTTGGGAATTTATAAGGTCACTGTATTAATAATACTTGATTACACTTAATATAAGTTACTTTATTATAAGCTAGCAGCACGATTTTGTGGCTTTAATCACATGTAGATAAAGATATATTGCTTGGATAAAATCCGTTGATAAAATGAATGGTCAGCATTTGCATTATGATTTATTTTCGTTTGTTAACTTTTATTCCTTTTAGGTTTTCGATCTGTGCCACTTCGTAATCAGTATGGCGAAGAATTGGAATTGTCATCGTTACTCGTTTATCTCGATATGCGCGATCAAAGTAATGAAGCAGAAGTTCTAAATCCACACGTTGCTTTGCAGGCTGGCCGATGTTTTGCCGGTATGACGTCCATTTCACTGAATTTGAAAACATGACGTTGCTACCTTCATTTTATCTACCTGTCTTGCTACCGATTCTACCTGCATTTCCTTGCTACCTTCATATGAATTCGCTTTGAATTTGTTGATGAATTTAGTTTAATATTGCAGGTGGATTGCATAAAACGTTATCATCATCTGGTATATTTTGGGCACGATTGAATTCAGCCGATCAGAGTGATTTCAAACCACCACTGTCACCCAATATATCAGCTGCAAAACACATTCCAGTTCCGATGGATTTAACATCCTTAGAGTAAATTTTTACGAAACTTTTTTATGATTTTTCAATTTTTTTTTAATTAGCTACTATACGGTTTTAAGGTTCTTAAGATTCTTGAAATATAATTAAAGGAGGTATTAAGTGTTGCGTGAAATTATAAGTTATTCAATCGATTTCACTTTTGTTGGGTTTGATTACGTTTTCTTACCATTTGTTCCATTTTAGCAGTTCTGCAGCATCCGCTTCGAGAAAAGAAAGCGGTTTAAGGAAAATTTTCCGGTTTGGAAAGAATTAAAAAATAGGTTGTTCAAATTGTCGATAATCGTCTTATCACTTTACCTAATTGCCATGGGACTGGCAGTCGTGATAGCGGAAACGTTTCGTTAAGGATTCAATGGTTGATGCTGTAATTGATGAATGTTGCACAAGGGAAGGATGAAAATTTTCTATTTTAAGGTAAAATAATAGTCTTAACATATACTGCTTTCTCATTATCTTTTGTGAAAAGAGAATAAAGGGAAGGAAGTTAGATTTATGTACTTAATGCTTTTTTAACCTATCATTGAAAGGGAAAGTTTTAAAAAAGTAAGGGAAACACTTCTTCAAAAGCAGTTCATTAAAGTGTTTCAGAAATTGTCTTTTTAGCTTATCTAAGTTTTTATTCCAACAATTTTCATGCTTTGCAGAAAAATTTGTTTTCAACCTTTTGAGATGTTTTCAACTACTTATTTTGAGAAACACAAATTTTTCGATTTTTCGGATGTTGTAAGCTATGTTCGTCTTTCTGTAGATATAATGTTTTTTAGCATAGAATAGATAGGTTGAGGTTATAGGAATTTTCAGTTCTTCCAGGATTTACGATGTGCTGCTTTTGAAGTTCCAGACAGCCTTCACTGTCTGACTACTTTTTGTAAATTATGCAGGAGCCGTTATTCTTCCATTGTTCGATTTAAATAATTTGAAATAATTTATTTGGTGAATTTTCTAGATAAAGATAAAATTCTTCCTGCATAAGCTGTATTTTCTTTCAGCACTGATATCATGAAAATTCATTATAAGCTTGATTAGAAAATTTCTGTAGTTATCACTTCGGTCACACATCAGCGTTTTCATAGTGCTGCTCATCTATGCTTAGTAAAGTTTTGTACTTTTGCGACACTTTTCACTGCTTTTCCACATTCCTTTGTTTTTCAGCAATTTCTTTTTTTGTTTTGCAGGGTCTGGAACTTCACATCATTCATCTGTAAAAATCCCTCCTGTTCATTTTGGGTAATGGTCATTTATTTTTCCTAGTCGTTTTAGCGGCATTCAAAAATGCAGTAACTTATGCTTTATTTTGATATATGTTCAGAAAATTCTTTTAAGATCATGTGGAGGTGTTATTACACGGTCAGTTTTCGAAATATTGATAACTTAAATCTCTATTTCCGGGATTAATTATTCTTACCCATTGGTTTTGAAAGGACTTAAATCTTTAATAAGTGCTGCTCTACAGTAATCATCAAAGTACATCTATCGCGAATTAATTGATATTTTTTCCATCTAGAGCTAGCACCATTCTGTAGCCTTTTCAACTTTATAAAGGAGCGTGAAATCAAATTTTGCTTTAACTCAATATATCAAAATGGAAATTGATAGCTTTTCATATTAAATTGTTCGTGATAGTCGAGCGTGACTGTTATAAACAATAACGAACGCGGAAGTGCAGGAACAGTGCATCATTGCTGAATGAAAAGGAGAGATATTTTTAATTAAAACTGAAAATTCAAAAGATATATTCTCACGCAATCTATTTGCAGAATGTGTTCTATTCATAATTACGAAAATATTTCCTTCCTTTTCGCCCTTTACTTAATGTGTAAGAAAACTTAGGATCCTCATATTGTTTTTTAGTTATTTCCCAGAAATTTATTAACTTAACTAACTAAGCACCTTTGAGTGGTATTTCATTTTTTTCTGTAAAATCCTTACAGTCTTTATACTTGGCTGATTGTGCACCTCTAAATATTCACTGATATTTCACTTCGTTTTTCTTGTGAAGGAGTTCAATTTCTGCATTTCTTGTATCCTCTTACATTCTATATTCCTTTTGTGCTTTTATTTCACTTTTTGTTGTTGTTAAAAATTATCCTCTATGAAAAATTTGAAACTGACTCGATTATATCACCAGTTACTTCATATTTTTCTTTGAAAACTACGATTTTGTAAGAGGCTTATTGTAATTATCTTGTGATGTATTTCTTAGCTTCCTGATTATTGCAATTAATTTTACTCATTGCATTTATTTGTTTATTAAAATTTACCGACAAATGAGTATTCTAATGTCTTTCCACGAGTTCGAGCATCGCATGAGGTAAAAAAATCCACACTTCAGGGAGGTATACAAGTTCACTTGTGAATAATGAACATATATGTCTATTTCAGTGACTTTCAAGTGATTAGATTTCCACCGAACATCACTGAGACGCATAATCTATTATGATGCTGCTTGAGGTAATCATATTAATGCTTTACGGCTGCCAAATCTTTTGTAGGAGTTTAGAAGCATAAAGAAATGAAATAATGCGGCGAATAATCATCAATAATTTCACATACGAATTTATTTAATTTTACCTGACATAAGTAGAATCCTCTGATGAATATTCGAACTCCATTCGGCATCTTATATCACACACGTCTGCTTGTGATTTTCTAGGTCTTCTGATTTTTTAAGAAATGATAAAGATAGCGTTGAAAATAATGCATCAAAAGTGACATCCTTTTCATGAAACGAACGAAGGAAAGATTATTTTTTCGTTTCCCATCACACTTAGAAGTAATTTTAGCACCTCCTAATTCTTAAATCTAATTTTAGAAACATAAGTTTGGCCACAAGTTGATAAATTTGATTGACTTGAAAGATAAATTTTTGCGGAACTGGTAATTTTACTATTTAATGGTCTGGTTTAAAGAGTCTTTAATTAAGAAAAGCATACTGTCCTTGAATTTCTAACCTGCCAAGAAGAAGGTAGTCCTGACGTTATCGTACACTTCTAATATTTGAAATTCCATCTTTTTTTAAGATTTCTTAAATTCTCTAAATTATAGAAGTTGCAATGCTAAATTCATCGTCGCTTATAATACAAGATATTAGTGAATGTTTCGAATTTCGAAACGAATTATTTAAGGTAAGTTTTTTAGCAACGATATGTCACCACATATAGCAGAAGGTATTTGAAAATTATCTTGCGAAAAGCAGCAGATGAAAACAACTTTATTCCAAATTTCCGTTCAGATATGGTAGTTGCATTTTTTGAAATTTACTCAATCGATTGATATTTTTAGAGAACCTTATGAAAAACCATATTTTGCTTAAATTCCGAGGTAACTTTAGCTAACTATGAAGGAACTAGCAGCGAACTGTACGGATAATTATAGGTTAACCAATCTGTTTTTGAAAACTTTGATTTCTATATCAAAAAGTTTTTGAAAACTTCCATTGCTACAAAAGGATTAAGTAAGTAATTTAAGATTATAAATTAAACGGAAATGAACAGATAAATATGCATACTGCAGGCCATCTTATTTATTCCATTTGGCATTTGCTCTACTATATGTAACACAGTCCTGATAACTGCCATACTGCGAAACAGGCAGTTACGTTACCGCCATGAAATGCAAATCGTTTGCGCCCTATCTGCTGCTGATTTAGTTGAAGGTTCATGCATTTTTCTGGCGAGATATAATCAGAAAATAGGAATATTGGAATTCAATTAAATTAGTTACTAACGGCATTCCATTTCCTCAATTTCTTAACATTGCCTCAAAGATTACGGGACATCCTGTTTTCCTTCCTCTCTAATACCCCTATTACTTTTATTATGTGGTCAAGCCAAACATTAGAAATATAAGATTCTTCTCAACTTGAACTGCTACCTCATTGTAACTTCATCGCAGTTCCTGGATTGCAGTTTACTTTAAATTCGAACCAAAAAAGAAAAAACGAGAAAGCTATCAGAATTTGGTCTGAATAACTTCCTTCAACCATTAATTAATGGGCAATAAATGACATACAATACAAAGAATATGTCTCAAAGTATACAAATTAAACCTTGCAATTAAAAACTTTGCAGGGTTTTTTACGAAATTAAAAAAAAAACAAAAACGATCAAATCAATTAAACCTTGCAAAATTTAACAAATAAACCAAAAAAATGTGTATATTCTATAATTAAACTTTGCAGCATTTGCAACATTTTGTGGTGGTACATATCGTGTGTTGGTGATACTTTTCAACTTACAAGATAGAAAGTTTTATCTTCTGCAATGTATGTTACTGCCTCATTCTTGGTTATGGCGTTGGTCTGATTTCGCTACTTCATTTATGCTATTAACGATAACATTCGATCGGATACTGGCAGTGGTTATACCACTAAAATATATGAAATGGCGATCCACTTATCCCTGTATCGCTATTGGAATAGTAAACTTTTATTCGCTTACATTTTAGTACAATTCAATTTTCCACTTTCTACTTTCTTTGCAGAACAGAATATATCCATAACCGTTAATGATGTTGAGGACATTTTTAGCCATATACATTATCAGTATTGCTATCAATGTTTGCTTGGTATCGATCCGTTACAAAACATGATAAAATATCAATGCTTTGTACGAACGTTTACATTTCACCGATTTTTTATATGTTTTCTAAATATTCAACCGCTATATCAAGTATGCTTAGTGTCATCCTTTATGTTCCTGTAGTTTTCATCGTTAAAATACAAAGGAAACGCATGACGCACGTCCTAACTAATTCACAGGTTTGCATTCGACAATTCCTTTGCTAATTATGCTTAATAATTTCAACTATATGCAACCATGTGGTACTAATTGTAATTGGTTGCTTTTGAATATAATGCAAATTAATTAATGCGTTCACCAAGCGCCAATTGGTCACTCTGTAATTGGTCAACTCAACAACTAATTTATTGTTTGAGTTCATTTGTTGGAAACTGCTGCTCAATGTACTTAAAGATCATTTTGCGACTTATCGAAACTATGACCGTTTTAGATAGCTCGTCAACATAGAGCGCAAATGCGAATGACAATGACGCTAGCAATTTCTTGTTTAGTGACATTTCTTCTGGATGCTGTACCTCGAACTATGGGTATTTATGGTGAGTTGATAAAGCTAAAATGCTATGCAAATATAATTAGGTATAGATCCTACCTATGTATATCAAAGTTCATATTAGAAATGAAACAAATATGGTATTTAAAGTAACCAATTCATCCTTCAGGCATTCTAGGAAAAAATTCATTTGAAGCAGAAAAACAGTGTGAGAGTGCAATGCAATCATTGTTTCATTTAACAAAATTGAATTCGATCATCAACTTATTTCTTCACTATTATCGTAATCCTTCACTTCGGGAATCTGTTTCGAACGTTCTTCGCATATTTTACATTGGTAAATTTTCAACTTTAAAACTTGCAAAGTTCATTTTGAAATTTATCCATTCTTTGCTTTCTGAATAATTTCTCTCGTCAAAAAGAAATTTTATATGACTAGTTCGTTATCAAAGGAACATAGTGATTACGACACAATCATAGAGATAACGTTAGAGCACTTGAGTAGTGATGAAGATTTAGTTTACAATATTGTGCATTAACTTTGAGACTCAAATAAATTAAAAATCCTTTTTTTTGACACAAAGTTGCCACATGTGAAATAGACTCTCCTTATATTTAGTTCATATTCAATCTTTTTTTTCAAGCCATTAAGCAATTTGAATTAGCGTGCTTGCTGTTAGTTGAAGGTAACATCAAGAAAGAAGTAGTTGTGTACGAATGCCTTTCTATACAGTATTGACCTGTCCCCAAAAACTTGAGCAACTGTACGGTTCTTCACATTTATACATTGCAGAAAAGCGTACTGAAGTCGTGCATTACATATCATGAATGGGTTGCAAAGAACTATTTGGAAATTTTCAAAGCAGCCAATTTCTGATAAGATTTATAGAAATTGAAGATCGAAATTGCATAATTCACTCCTAATCATTATCAGTTCTCGACGATGCCTCATAATTCCTCACATAGGTTGCTTCCAATTTTTCTTTTATTCTAGTCTCTTGATTTCATTCAATTTCATTGTTGAATCTCAACTAATTCAATCTCTTCATTACTGTATGAGTAAAATCTGAGTGCGAAACTTTATATTAGTTAGTTAAATTTTTAGAATTCCTTAACAATATTTGATTGCTTCCCTTTTGCTATTTAGGAAATTAGCTGCTAACTAACACAAAGTTTTTGTTTAAATGACTAATATGAATCATCGCATTTATAGTAGCTTTCCTAACTTAGTAAGTTTGTTAAGTGTCATGAAGAATCAAATAATATTTTATGAATTTTTGAGCCAGGAAAGTATTCAACATTTTAAAAACATTTTAAATTGTACTTAAAAATTACAAATCCAGATTTTATCGTTTCATTTTTTGTTCTTAGTATCCGAATGCAGTGATCAATTGAGCATAACCCATCAAACTCATTGCTTTGTAAATGTGATGAATTTTGCAGAAGGTAACGTTTGCCGCAGAAATTAAGATTTTTTAATAGAAAAAGCTTAATATGTGCACGCAATTTGGTATGCTGAATGAAATTTCATTTGTGAATGGTAGCCAACTTGAAAATGTGTCACTGCTATGTTCAGGGCGGTTGCAATTTTCTGAAATATGCAAAGAAGTATTCTGATGAGTTGCTGAACGATTCAAAATCCCACCAAATCAAGCTTTAAAAATTTCATTCTTTCTTCCCAACACAGATAGGGATTTGTGAATTGAATATAAAAGAATTAATGAAAGTATTTTAAAGGATATGTAGCAATTGCTTTGTGAAAAAATCGTAAAACTCATCCAATAAGGCTCTGTAAATGCATCTTTTAGTGGGAGGGAAAATGAGGGAGGATGAGTTTTTGAATTTTAATATTATTCAGGCAGATTGTCGAAGGTCAGAAGTGTAGCTTCATTTCCCATGAGTTAAAATGCTTTGGAAATATAATTAGGTATAGATCCTACCTATGTATATCAAAGTTCATATTAGAAATGAAACAAATATGATATTTAAAGTAACCAATTCATCCTTCAGGCATTCTAGGAAAAAATTCATTTGAAGCAGAAAAACAGTGTGAGAGTGCAATGCAATCATTGTTTCATTTAACAAAATTGAATTCGATCATCAACTTATTTCTTCACTATTATCGTAATCCTTCACTTCGGGAATCTGTTTCGAACGTTCTTCGCATATTTTACATTGGTAAATTTTCAACTTTAAAACTTGCAAAGTTCATTTTGAAATTTATCCATTCTTTGCTTTCTGAATAATTTCTTTTGTCAAAAAGAAATTTTATATGATTACTGCGTTACCAAAGGAATACAGTCGCATGCGATAAGTCTATTTTTGCTTACAGAAGTAATTTGACGGTTAATAATTCCTAAGAAATTGTAAATTGTGAAATGTGCACTGAAATTTTCGATAGTTCCAAATATCATGCAAATTTTATCATATCCACATGGCGAATATTAATTAGTTTTGTTTTTAGTTTTATAAATCGATTTTCAAAGCTATCATAAATATGACAGCCGAAGTTTTTTTCAGTGCTTGAAGAAAATAAGAAATTAAATTTCATTTACGCATTTCAAAAATAATAGTAGAAAAAACAACTCGAAAACTTCAGCACGCTCATTTTAAAAAAAGCATTGTCGATGCCCGAAATGAGTAATGAATAGCACAAATGTCATATTGTACAGTAACCCCTAATTTCTTTATTTCGTTTTTATGAACCAATGAAATATATCACCATTGGTGAGCTATATCTGATACCCAACTTTCTTTTTGTTGATAATTTGCTTTTTTAAATGAAAGATCAGAGAGATTTATATGAGAAGCGCAGATGTAGTTAACTACATCTAAAAAAAAGCAGTATTAATCACCACAAATAATATCATTATATCAGGGATGAACTTAACTAATGTTCCGAAATGAAATGGACCATGCGCTAAAGATGCTGCTTTGATTTCAGCTTCGATGGTAAGCTTAAATTAATAGCAATTACCAATAAATTTATTATTATTTCTAACATTGAGGTTGAATGAGTGTGGTAATGCAATTATTTATTGAGGATTTATTGCTAATTGATTGAAATTATAGAAATACTTAATTGTAGCTTATTTCCTTCAAAACGCTCATTTTCAATAGCATAATGACACAAATTACTTTGTCTCATCAGGTTTCTTTTCGAACTCCATTCCTGAGGTTATTTTCATTATCCTAACATGGAAACCAAATCAACTTTAAATAAAACCTGAAGCGAAATAAAATGAATTTGCTATTGTTTCTGGCTTGAATTCTTAATCTTCCAAAAATATTCCTTTGAAAGATGTCGGGAATCTAATCATAAAGTTGCTGTCGAGAATTAACATAAACTTTTGATTCCTTCCCAATGAGTCAGGTCGATTATACCTTTGTAGCACTTTAGCTTTTCTGTATGTATTGTCTTCAAATAAAAGCGTATTTAAAAGTTTGGCGACCAAAACAGTTCTTTACTCCAAATTTTTCGAAAATTTTAAATAATTAATATTTTGTTCTTTCTAGGGAATGCAAAGGGTGAGATCTCAATTTTAATAATTTCATATGTCTTCCAGTTTGACTATTTTCTCACCAAGCATAGGCTGTATATTTAACAGTGACTAAAAGGTAATTCGGACGGTATTGTCGGGAAAAGAAAATTTTAAATTATTGATGCTTTGATACAACGAAAATTTTAATCATAACATGTAGCGCAAAGCATATCATAAGATTTGTCTAAAAGAAATATGCGACATCATTATCACTGTGAAAATACTCCTAGAAAAAATTGTCAAAATTCATGATTTTAGTATCGATATATTTTGATATTCAAAATCTATGATGAATCAAAAGATGCACTGACCTATTGCGTTAATTAAAAAAACAGTGACTAAAAGATAATTCAGACAGTTATGTCAGTGACTAAAAGATTTCGGACACAAGATCTACCTTTAATTACAAAATTTAATTGAGATCTGCAGCATGCGTATGAAGTAATCTCAGTTAAATTTTGTAATTAATAAAGCGACAATTTCAGTAATCATTGAGCCCAACCCTTTGCAAAATTAAATATATATATATATATATATATATATAACGCATACAGCTTGTCTGTGGTACTTCTGCATCAGCAGTAAATAGTTTCTCTTCACTTGGTTAAAGTAATAATATTCCCAAAAATGATGGACTGTCAGCATAATTTCTACTTTTGATAATCTATAGCTTATATTACTTCAAAAAATAACGATATTTTTGAGGAGATATCATTTATGTGTTATTTGATATCAATCTCAATGATTTCTTCTTTCGTAAATAAAAGGACTGATAAGTTTCTAAAAAGTGCACCAATATTTTGCGTTTTGAAATTGCAAAAGTGTTATACGCAATTGATAAGAGTTTTACTGGCATAAATGTTTCAAAGTGAAATCTCCAAATTTTGATTTTTTTCGGATGTTTGACTTCGAAAGGAATGCCTTAGTTCCAATAATGAAATGCTTCTAATGATTTCCATTTCAAATACATGCAAAAGTATTAATTATTACTTTTTTAAATGAAATGATTTTTCAATATGCCTTGTTATAATAGACTGGAAAATACAATCGACCCTTCTTCATTTCCCTCCTTCCCGTCTTCACTTTATAGCTGTTCCCTACCAATAGTCCCGAGGACTATTAAAAATTATGTTCCTTTTTTTTATACTATTATGTTACTCCAAGTTGAAAGTCTCGGTTATAGTATAATTTCATATTAACAGAATTTATTATTTTTGAACTTTGTGGTTTTTGGTGCAAACAAAAAACTAAAAGTGATCTGTGGTCAAGAAAAGATCAAAAGTCATTACTCTAAAACAAGAAGCAGACAGAGAGTGAAAATGAGCCAAGGGAAACGATAGCCTTTTATAATCATTTCTTATATATGATGAGAATTTCAAAAAAGCAGAATTATCACTCCAAAAAGCAAATTTTTTATTTGACATTTTGTTGGTCAGTTGGCCGGCGAAATGAGGAAGACAAAAAGAAGAAGACGATAAAGGAAGGGAAGAGAGAGTTAGACTGATGAAGATACCGGAAAGCACTGAGAAATACGGCTCGAACAACTGTTGGCAAGCAATAAACGGTTCGCGAACTTCACACAAGACTAACGAGCGACAAATTGCCCAGGCGATGGTGTGAATTGTAAATTATCCCTCCCAGTTTAATTCTCTTTGCTCCACTTCTCCCGCATCTTCAAGGGAACATCAGAAGCATGACACTATGTTCGCAAAGCTCAGCTACCCTGCCGGACTTCTATATTCCGAATTCTAAAATCCATTGATATTTCGATTTGAGACCATATAAATGTTTTCTAATCTTTTAGCTCTCGATATTAAACAGAACGTCCATTTGCCTAAGGTAATAGCAGCCAGACCGAAGAAATTTACATTATCCGAAAGCAAAGTAAAAGTTGATAAAATATATCGAACAGGAGCCAGTAAGATCGACGGTCTCCATTGTATGCTAATTCAGGTCTGTAAAATATACCAGTGGTACTAACGTCGATGGTACTGAAGAATTACATACTAGAACATTGCGGAAGACTTCATAAATTACATTTCAAAGAATTTTTAGAAAAGTCCCCAATAGCTTTCTCTTATATCAAATCATAAAAAATGAAATATGAATGCTTTGTTTGTGTTAGTGACCATCAAAATCAGTGATAACTTCCACTGATAATAATGTTAGTCTTGCGGCTTAAGCATCGAGCAAGTTTAGAAGAGAGGGTATTAGCGGCAAGGACGAAAAGGAGCGGCACCGTTTGTCCTTTTCCATAATGAGAACAATGTTATTTGCTTCTGAATAAGAGGAGATACAGAATACACGTGGACAAATCTGCTAAACTTTTATTCTTATTTTCTGCCTTTATCAACATAGATAAAAAGAGTGACGAGAAATGATAACAGCAATGACAGCTGACTCATATATACATTTGCTTTCCAACTAATCCCATAGTTCCATGATATTTTATTTCAAAAATTGCAATCAGAGCATGGCGCTAAAGTCGTGCGGAAGTTTACATGAAATCGAGCTCGCATTCAACCGCTCGAAGTCTTTTCAATTAATGCCACCTATATAGTGCTGTCATATCATTAATTCATTACTGCTTAATTCAAAGCGGAAGACTTTAAGGAATAAAAAACTGCTATTGACTAATTTATCCAAAGATGTGAAAAACAAGTTAATGCTTGAACAATTTTCAATTAAGCGATTGATGATAGGAAAATATTAAAAGTGCAAAAGATATGATACAGTGAGGTATATGTCCTTCTAAGACGATGATACTAATGTAAATCAAGAACGGTCAACGATATACATCTGAAAACAACAGTCGTAAAGTTATGAAGTGGCTTTTTACTATGACCATTTTTCAAAATCATTCATTATTTTTAAATTTTTCTCCTTATAAATTGAGAGAGTGGTGAGGTTCAGTGAACAAAACCACAATCGGTGTTTTAGTCCAACATCTATCCAGTATTTAACAAGTTATAACTTCGCTGCTGTGTTCTAATTTAGCCATCATATTTTCAGATTTCACATATGTAAGTATCACTTGAATACAATAGTTACCACCTCGTTGAGTTTAATCAATGCAATAGCACAAATAACTGTTGATCTTGTTAACACCTGACTAATTGCATAAAGGACAGCATCTTCGCTATCCTTTGATGTGATTCCAGAACCATTGCTGAAAACTTTACGATAAAGAGATATCACGGATTGCAAACAAAGCCGAAGATCTACAACGATAACTGACAATTTTTCCGCGATTATGGATGGTCCGATAACTAATATCTTTCTTTCTTTTTCTCAAAGTTCCCTTTTGTGAGTTAACAGCGGTTGTGTATGTATGATGGTGTGCATAATATACCGATAAACAGTTTTGCAGGACTAAAATGAACGAATCAACAAAAAGAAGACTAAGTATAAATGAATAGAAATTACGACTCATATTTAGGTCTAAATAGTGATATCAGTATTGATATGCTTAATGATACTTTCAAATATCATTTTGTACATCTTCAATTGATTACTGCCTTAACAGGAATTGAAGTTTTGTTTATTTTTATGATAAAATTTGAACGTTTAGCATGAAAAAAAAATGAACGATTTTTGAGAAGAAAGGATTTACAAATTAAAAAAACTGAGTCGGTAGTCTTCAGCTACTCTGTATTTTATTTAGGAAATTGCCTTTGCGATAGTTGACAGCTGGTGAATGTCGCAAGGATATCGCTATTCTGCATCGAAATTTGTAACCATATTTGCAATTCAGAAAGGTAGATTATGCTAAATTAAATTTTTTTTTCGAGCATTGCATCAACAAATGCATTCCAATTTTTGCATTCAATTAAGAGAACATTTCAGTCAGTTAAAACTAACATATGCTAACAATAAAATAATTCTAAATCCAATTGCAGGAACACATACAGAGGAGAGAGAGAGAGAGAGAGAGAGAGAGAAAGAAATCTGAAGGATAGTTGTTTTGTGGGAATATGCGATGAATTTTTCATACAACCACAGACAGGTCCTAAGCAGAAGCTCTTCTGTCTTTTTCAAACAAATCAAAATATTTATGGATTTAAAGCACATCAATCAAACATCAGAGGAAAGAAGACTTTAATGATAATTTGATTTGACATTTAGATGAGACATAGATGTGATAATACGACATCTAAGAAAGAACAAGAATACGCTGATTCGGCTGTTAGTACTTCCCAGAAGGATTCTTTCAGAATCTTAAAGATTTAAGAACGCGTTCAAAGGTCTAAAGAGAGAAATGCTTGCAGATCGAATTTCAAGTATTGAAGTGAACTGAAAGTTTTTGTTTCTTCATGCGAAATAATAATCCAACTTACCTTCCATTTGAAATATGGCACAATTAATATCTTACATGCGGATAAATGAGTTAGTCAAAGTCGTATAATTCTCCATTGCTTGTGATTTAATACAAAAACTTCAATTTTGTGAACGATTATTTGACAAATTAATTAAGAATTTGTGTAAATTTTTAGTTGGGTGAGGAATGATTCTTTAGAGGAGATAGAGAAGTAAACAATTTTTGTTATTGTGTCACATCAAATTAGTAACAACTGTTGATCGTCGTTTCACAAGTATTAATTCTCCCACCCATCAAATGAAATTACTGCGTACCTAACCTTTTCCTTCAAAACAGGTTTCAATCTTAGACCGTTTATTTGAGTCAAAAAAGCATCGAGAAAAGCCTTTTTAATTAAAATTTTGGAAATTTCTTGAATTTTAGATTAATTATCCTGAAAATTTCCCCTGTTTGGAGGCAATATTTGAAGTTATAAGTAAACGTTTATATCGGAGTAGTTCTCTTCTTCAACTTTTAAGCATTTTTGTAAAATTATACCTCATTATCATTATGCACTGATATATCTCATTACGGCTATTTCTTTTTTCTGCAAAATTTCTAATTAGACAGAAAACGGATTTCAAAGATAGAGAAGTCTTAAAAATATTTTGACTTATATAGGTACACATATCTTCTAAAATCTAAAAATATTAACAAGATTGTTTGGTTTTGCTATCAAAACAAATAAACGATGTTTCTTATGACTTTCAACAAATTTATCCAAGCAATAAGATGATCAATGACATAAAGCTGTTCACTTCTAAGCTTTAGTCTGAGGCACAGCTGTGAAAGCAGTAATTCTCCAGGAGATGATGGATCGTAATTTATTGGACAAAAGAAAAATGTAAGAGAAGAGGTTGAAGAAGAGATGATAGTGATTGGCAACTGGGATGAAATAAACTTGAAGATTGGAATGTACTGGAAGTATTACTGCAGTTGGATAATGCAACTGTACAACCTGAAGACGTTCCCTCTTCAAGGACGATTAATTTTTCAGATAAAGCAAAGATAATTCTATCAAATTTCCATCTGTGACGATAATCTAATTTTCTGATGTCAATTTTTTTTCTTCATAAGTATACTTCGATTCAAAAAATTGTCACCTTTATTAGAACACGTACAATATCAGTAAATAAACAGATGAACAACTAAATAAACAAGTGAACATGAAAAGAATAATAAATAAAAGCATGAAATAGCTGCTAACACATATTTACATTAATACTTTATCCAGATAAATACATTTCCATATCAATAAATGATATCAAGATGATATAGAGAAGAAGCTTTGATTTATGCTAGAATCTTTCTCTGTTGAAATGCTTCGAACTACTAAAGTAATAACCTACGTGAATCGTATATTTATTCTACTTAAGAGACAGAACAACACCATGATAGTATGACACGTGACGTGTGACACATGGGACGTTTTCATCAATTCTTGACAATTTTAAGATATTGGTAAATTTGATTGCCTAAAATATTTGTACCTGGTGAAGCGAAAGGAAAGGAGAAAAGACTGATATTTGAGCGAGAGTTATAAAATATGGCATTTTTCTGTCAATAGTTCGATAAGATTTTCAAATCCATATTTGAACCCAACAGACAGAAGAATGATAAGATAAAAGCAAATTTGGTGATTCAGATGGAGATATCTCGGAGTTGTGCAAAATAAACCTTTTATAAATGTTGACATTGATTACTAAGATCGGTGTTTCTCACAAAACTCTTCGACAGAAATCCTTATTATGCATATGCGTTTATTGAATCTGAAAAGAACATCCTAAAGACAAGTGAGGTTTATAGGAAATTTAATTTAAAGTCGTCTACCAGAAGGGAAGCTAAACTAATTCTGAATGTTTCACATAAATGTCTGACCACTGACCACGGATCATAAAACTAATCAAGACTAAAAATGAGCAATAATAAGTGAACAACAGAGATTACAGATCAATAAAAAGAGAAGAGCCCTGGTGAAGTGTACAGTTAGTTGATGAGATGCATTCAGCAAAAACTGATTTCGAATTCATTATCATACATGCATATATCAATATGTCAATGTCGCTCTTGTGTTACTTGTAAACCGTAGGAGTACTGTCACTCTGCGATGATGCGATAACTTTTGCAGCTATTGTAGCAAGCAACTTCTGGTGATCAGTAGTTGGTGATATACCCGTGGGAATGCATGGGAAAGGTGAAGGCGCATGCGTAGCTGATGGTACCACCAATGTTCGTGGATTGGCGACAGGAATTCGAGGTGGAAAAACTTCAGGTAAACGAGGCACAAGCGGTGAAAATGCCAACGATGGAGCCGGTCTGATAGGTGTTAGTCGAGGAAGTGGTGAAACACCAGAGCTTCCAAGGAATGCTGATGGTAGAAAAGGTGAACCTGGAGATAAAAACGATGCTCCCGGATAAGCAACTGACTGATAATCCGGTTCTGGTTGCTGGCGCTTGAATCTAAAAATTATATCCTTAAAAATGCTGCCTAAATTTATTCAAATACCAAAAATCAAGCACGGAACTATTGATAAGCATGCAAAATTTTGCTCACGACCTGATTAATTGTTTTAAGAAGTAAGAGTTTTAATTCGTACAAAAAGATCCTCCCCACAATTTATTTCCCAATTCACGGAACGGCACTCAGCTGTCGGCAACTAATTAATTCTACGTTGTTCGAGTTGTAGAAAGCATAGAAATTATTCCGTTTAAAATAGCATCATTTTTATACCGTAATCTTTAACTAACCATTCGCCCACCCTAATAAAAATCAAATCATTGCTTTCAAAATGTTTAGGAATGTAAAAGACCTTTTGCGGCGCCTAAGAAATGATCCATTATCGAACATATCCTCAGCTTTCGGATCTAATGCCCAATAATTTCCCTTTCCTGGATTTCCTGGCTCTCGCGGAATTTTAACAAAACAATCATTCAGACTCAGATTATGTCTGATTGAATTTTGCCATGCCGGAAATTTTTCTCGATAGTACTGTAAAAACCAAATTTGTTTGCTATAAATTCATAAAGTCCCTTTGTCGAATAATTTCCAGCTTTCCTCAAAACTCAGAAATTACTGAAGTTGAGAATTCGAACAAGGTATGCTGGTTAGGCATAGTACTTCGCATTTATCCTGTAAATTGGATGAACAAAATGGAACTAAACTTATTGTCAAAAAAGAAGAAACATCTGTTGACTTTCCCTAAATTTGAAAATTTTCTAACATTTAGGTTCTTGCCAAGAATTGAGCATCAATCTCTTCATCGAAGTAAATTGCTTGTCTAGCTATATTTTACAGCTAGCACTTCAATAAAATAAGGATTTTTAAAGTAAAGACGAACCTGGAATCGGTTAATTATAAAGTCGCATATTTGCGATAAAGTTAACTTCTTATCAGGGCTATTCAGAATGGCCATTGCAATCAAAGCAATGTATGAGTAAGCCGGCTTAGTTGCACCAGACTTGCTTTGGTTACTGCTGTGCTTGCTGGTCTGCCTATGAGGGAATTAATTAGTTAGAAATAATTCGTTACGCTTAAAAAATACGCATATCTGCGTTTTTTGAATAGACATTTAAATTCAGATTTGTCTGGCAAAATCATTATTAGAAATATTTTTATTATTTCAATCCATTAAGATCCGACTTTTGAAGTTAGATTATTTCCTCTGCTAATTAGGAATAAACTTTGGTATCGATTGCTTATACGGTACCTTGAGTTATCTTCGCACTGGCCTTCATCATCTGAACTAAAACTAAGTGGTTCGTGATATATTTCCAAACTCGAACCAGGTCGATTGGTATTACTGGCAAAATTAGTTGACCACTTTGGCGATACCGAACCTTCCTGAAGGTATGAAACGCATTCCCACAAGATTTTTGCAAGAAAATGAATAAAATACATTCATACGCCCCTTTCGTTTCGTTAGTCATATATTGTGGTAATTTCAAACTCAACTGATCCAATAATTTCAAGTATAAAAGTATTTTTGGAAAAAAAAGATAGAAAAAGAAAGTTTCCTTGATTTTTCTAATTTAAAAGATAGAAAAAGAAAGTAGTTTCCTTGATTTTCCGAATTTATTAGCGAATTTAGGTGAAAGTTGGAAAACTTAATGGAAAAAAGCTATGCAAAATAACGTAGTACACAGATTAAATTGCGTAATGTTAAAGAAAGGAGAAAAGAATAGTAATTAAGAGGATGGAATACATAATTCAATTCAACAATGTTAAATGATCCATAATCAATAGGGTTACTTTAATATAACAGATAATCATCGATAAGCGGCACCGTATTGCAGCCTATTGCGTAACGGCAGTTGTTTAACACTGTCGCAACGATTAACCAACTGCTAATACGACAAATGTTACTTCGATGGGCTAATGTTTAGAACTGGTGTTTTCTAGTAAGAGTGAGGAAGGAATGACAGTTATCACATCGTCTCCTTTTATCCTCCTTTTTCTACATGACCCAAATATTACAATTTTGTCGAATAACAAAAAACAAAGAAAATAAATAAATAAATAAATAATCCGTCGTTTGAATCTAAAGATTAGCTGCGGATTCTTTTGAATTCCTTCTAGCTTTCACATAAGAAAAATAACAGTAAGAGTTCAAAGTTCTGCGAAATGTTTAAAATGTAATAGATTTTACAAATTGTTAAACTCGTAACCTTGCAACTTCATTAAGAAATAAAAAATTTGAATCATACTATTGAAGAGATATATAAGTAATTAAAGAAGTATTTTAAAACAATCAACTCTTTTCTTGTCGAAGAAAAACTTTTTCAGTTGATTATTCATAGAACAATGAGAAATCATTTCAAATTCGTCATCTGATACTAAGTTGATAAAGATCGATTAAGTTAGCACAAAAATCATTTATCATCATTTGACAAATTTCCAGTACATTTTGAATTCAGGAAATGGGAATAATAATGAAATAAATTGTATAGTAAGACTGAAACAATGCACCAACAACTAGTATAATTTGTTATCAAACAATCGACAATTACATACCGATCTAGAAGACCTGATGATACCCATTTTCTCATCATTACAAGCATTTCCGCTGCCGGCAATCCCTTCCTGATTTCCTGATTTAGAATAGCTCGTGTATTTAGTGCTACAACTAGCCTGATCTGCCTAAAATAACAGCGAGCAGAAATTACAAAAACTAGTGTAGTCATTTAAAAACATTTCAAAATGTATCAAATGCCATCATATCATATTTGTTAAAATTGTCAAAGTGAACTTGGAATAAGTAAAGGATTGGATAAATGATCGAAGAATGGAAAAAGCAAATAAATTATGAGTAATACTAACGATATGGATAAATTTCCCGGAAGGGAATGATAATAAAACAGAAAGATTAATCTGTTTCGATTTCTGAGAGATACTCATTTCTAATGATCAGTGATAAGTGTAAAGAAGTATCAAACTGCTGAAGCAGTACGGTAGCAAACTATTCTACACGAAAAGTATACGCTGATTAAGATAGCAAATGTGGCTGAAGAGCTAGCTATTCGTTAGTAGTTTGGTGGGCCATAAGCGCAAACCATTCATCACTGCAGTTGTACTGCAGCAATGGATGATTGGATAAAAGATCTATCACCGCCCAATATTTCCAGTCCTTTGATTTTGAACCAGGACTATCAATTTTCAATTTAAGAATATTCGATATTTTTTAAAACTTTTCGACCTGACTTCAAATTGAACTAAGAGCTGATAACATTTCACGACTTACCATCAATGCTTACTACATTTGTCTAAACTTTATTGTTAATTTCCTTCATTCTAATAGTTCGAAAACTTAAATGACAGACTTAGCTAATGGCTTGGAAGTTTGAGTCAGAACTATTTAATTTATTGCTTATAAAGAGAGAAAGATGTGAGTTGAGAATTTATCGTCTTCAATTCAGTGAAACGATTTTATATTTTCTGAACTTAAATTTTGCTTATAAACATACATCGATTTTATTGCTTATATCCTCGTCCGGATAAAAACTGTTGTCGGCTAAGTGTGATGATTGTAAACTTGAACTTTGAGCATGCGTTATATTATTTTCAGTACTATTTAACGATGAACTTTCCGGTCGATCTGGACTTGCGCTTGCCTGGAAACTCCGTAAGCAAATTAGAAAGATGAAGCATCATTGTCATCCAATCTTCAATATTCATTGAGGGCACTCCATACAAACAACCTACTATAAGTCCAAATATTTCTCATGCAATCAAATAAAATGACTGAATCGATATATTTATAACCAATTTAGTCAATACACCATTAATATGTTGCATTACGCGAAATAGTTTAAGATAAGCTAGAATTAGATAAACGTTTTACTTACCCTCAAAACTTCACTGTTCGATTCTTTGCATTTATTAGTTTTACCGACACAGGTGTCTTTATTGCAACTTTCATGTGGACGTTTGCGCCCTTTAGCACCATTGTTGTCCATTTGACCACACAATATTGATTCCATCGAGAAACGCATCTTCCCACTCATGCATAGATACCATACGCCTGATTTCTACAGAACTTTAATTCAAAAAAAATGTTTGTGAGCATATAAGACAATTTCCGAATAATGATCTCGATGAGTGCAACAAATAGAAAGTATTAGCGATAAGTAACACTTTATGATGTTTTCTGAATTTCCGAATTTTCGATTTTTTAATGAATATGTAAATCAAGTAAGTATTTTGAAGTAAAATAGGAATGATTACTGATAATTACCAAGTAACTAATTTAGCAATTCAAACAAATTCTGTGGTTAACTAGAATGAGTTGACACACACATGATGATCATTGCTATTACCAAAGTGAATGTTATTTTTCTTCCGAGCATATTGGGTTATTTTTGAATAAGATTATATCAGAAGCCACGAGTAATTCATTTCCCCTACTTCCCAGTTCTGTTGAATCACCTGATAAAACAATATTATTTGATAATGCTATTTTCGGAAATTTATGAGTTTCTTAATTACACTTTCAGAAGTTCAATTTCATGAATGTTTATTCACGATGTTTACAACAATTAAAGTTATCAGAGAAGGAAAGAGGTGTAACTATTATTACACAAAATGGTAAAAATAAGGAGCAACCTGTTAGTTTGAAATTGTGAGAAGAGGAAGAAGAACGTGCTTCATCTTTGTGATTGGATTATTCTGATAAGGACAACTTTTTTTTGTCTGCTTGTTTAAACAGTGCAAACAAACATGAATGGTCTTCTGTTGATTTATATCACACTGCAAAAAAACGCAATCGAAGGTCAAAAAGGGTATATTAGATTGTAAGCCATCGTCTACATCATTCATGCCATTTATGAACAACCCAAACAATTTTGCGGCAAATTCACTTCCTCTTCCTCGAATAAAAATGTTTATCTCACCAAGCACAACCTAATCATCTAACGTTTATTAGATTACCTATATTGTGACTGCACAAAAATAACGGATATTCAGCATACTTAAATCAAGTTCCTACGTTGCAAATCAATCGATTGATTATTGATTACAGATTATTTATTTCCAATTCAAATCATCTGATCGTTGTTATCAATTAACCAATAAAATGAAAGAGTTTGCTGAAGTAAATATAATACTTCATATTGTTTCAAACAATCTGCAATGAAATAAAGGACATTTTCAAAAAGTCTGATGAACTCCTTTAAACGCGTTATGTAAGGAGAAGTTAACTGATTACGACAATGATAAGTTTGATCCCATTTCTAGCAACTATTAACTTATAAAAACAAAATTTATGAAAATAAGGAAGTTCATTGGATTATGGAAGGAAGAATTTCTTCCAAAATCTTCGAAATTTCCACATATGTTATATTTACTTCAATGCAAACAAGCAAGGAATTATTTGGAAAGATCATTTAGGAAGAGAAAGTGAAAAAAAGATATATGTCAGTGTTTTCAGCATTTTTGACTGAAATTACTACAAAAATTTTGTGTACTGAAATATTGGTAAGTGGAACGAAAAAGTTTCATATGATCCATCGTTCTGGAATCTGAGTGTGATTTAAAACATTTCATGGAATCATTCTGCATCATCAATGAGGATAACATATTAAAAAAGCAAATCAAAGATAGGGAAGATCTTTTAGATCACAAGCTGCTTAATAACACTCATCATCTTTGTATCAAATTTTCTTTGCTTCTTTAACAATTTAGGCAAAAGTTATTAGCCTACAAATTAAAGCAGAACCTAGATGATAAAATTATATGAACGTTCTTTACAGTATTTCGTGAACAGTTATCACTCAGTAATTGTTTCCACCAGTATCTCTAATGTCTCTCTTCTTATTTAACTTTGTTTTAAAAATCGAAAACAGCTGCAAAAAAAAAAAAAAGAAACAAGCTAGTGAATTTTAAGGCATTGTTGTTATCGGAAAGACGAAAGAAATCAGGCAATTGATAAATGTTTTATCGTTTTTAGAACTGCGAAAAAAAGTTCTTCGGATATTTTTCTGGGAAGCAAAAAGCAAAATGCAGAAATGCAAAAAGACCGATGCTAAATTGGATGCTGTGAAAACTTCTGAATAATCTTACTCTTTGAAAACCAAAATGGAATATTTAAAACTTCGAATTTGATATCTCATCACTGCATGATGATTAATCACTATCATTACTATTATTACTAATACTGAACTTACCTTCCATACCACCTTTATAAATAATTAACAATGCGAGACAGAATTACACTGGCCCCATGTATACATGAGACTTCGAACGATCAGAGACATTCGAAAATCTTGAAGATTTATTTCCTACAACTCTGACGAACTTCTACATACTGCCACTTTCGTTGAAGTATGAGATAAACGATGTCAGTATATTGTCGTCTAAATCTTCTTGTCATTAGCAACTGTCCTTATCAATACCAATCAATACTACTATAGAAATGAACATATTCCCAAATGATGCCTCCCCGAACGGATGAACCCGAAGAGTTTCCCCACTTTTTCGCTCCTATGAAAATATTTACGAAAGCGCAGAAAGCATCTACAGTTATCAAACGAACAGTCTCAAGTGGACACACTCACGCCTTAGTAACGTGCACACACACATACACATACACATACACACACATACACACATACACACACACATACATACACAGATAAAAACATAGACAAATGCAGACACATACATACACACATACACACATACATCTACACACACATACACACACATACACACACATACACACTCACACACACATACATCCACATACACGTAATACATACACACGACATGGTTCACATTTTGACAGCCAGCGAGCATGCTTTGTCATAGAAGAGTGGGCGGGTATTTGATACTCAAGCTCCGCCTCCTACTATGATTGGTTCAGAGGATAATTTAACTATTATTGAATTTATTGTGTTACCGGTTTCATATTACAATGAAGTAAGCACTGGGATGGATTTATGGTGCAGGGCGGAGAAAAGCGCTTAGCTCATGCTTCACGTAGTTGACGTATGACGTAACACAAGATGCATGTCTTTCTGGAATGGACGCATACGCCAATAATTTTGAATATGTATATTGACGCCCTTTCTCGAATGTATTAATTAAGCATGAAGCAGTGCTTAATTACTTATACGTGTAAGACAGCGTTCTTTTCTGTAGTAAGAATAGCATTGTTATCACTGAGAATTCCCTCTCTTTTCTCAATGAGTGGAGAGAAAATTGACAGTGTCCGGTCAGAATTAGGTTCTTGTCACAGTAATTTTCTCTTGGATGACAATGACAGTCTTCAATATCCCTTTGTCCTTACCAAAATATTCCGCTTACCTTCAATATTATACTCTTTATGGAAAATCAGGGATCTGTTTCAGTGATTTATCCTGTCACCGTTGAGAAACGCATTCGATACAGTTCGGATTTTGACTTATAATACAACACACTTTACTTGTACAAATAGGTTAAATTGCTCTCAAACTCTCGAACTCTAATTAATTAATTTATCATTTATATTAATTAAATTTCACAACACTTTGGAAAACTGCCACTCAATTTCAAACGCTAAGCATAAACATTTTCATATGTAAGCATCGATGAATTCCCCACAAGCAGCAGATGGAATTTATCGTATGCAATATTGCATATATGCTATTAGCTATTTTATTTATATAATTAGTTGCATAATGCGAAGTATGATCAGATATACCGTAGGACAAATAACAGACAATACTAGAAGTAAGAGCCAAGATATCTGTGACATCTCTCTCAGTCCATTTCATCTCAGATCAATCTTATTTCATTAACCTTCACTTACTCCACTTGACAAATTGCAATTTTTAAATTTAACTTTTGATAAATGTATGCGTGAGGATTGCAATATATGAAACGAAATACGGAACATATCAAATATTAAACAAATATGATCACAACCAATGAGATCGCGTAACGACTGATGCTAAAATATGAATTAGATTTTGATTTCTTTTAATTCTAATTCTACTATTTCTAATGAGGTTATGAAAATGAAGTTTTATAGTTTTTCAAAGATCTTCAATTCTTTAATTGTAGTCAGCAATGCATTACAAACTTTCACGTTCGAATTTACAATTCAGAGCTTGAAGTATTTCAAGTTATCTCAAATATTGAAAATCTAAAACATATAAATGGGATCTTTATGAATATGAATATTTTTAATTACTCTTCCAAATAGCTATCAAAAAAAGTTGTCAAATGTTAATCCATTAAAAAATTTCATGGATATGATGAAAGAGTCTTATTATTGTTAGTTTGATATTTTATCTGAAAGAATACTAAGGAAAATGCAGATTTTCTTTAACCTAAAGTTAAGAAAAAGATTTAATAAATTTTGACTGCAAAAATATCCCTATGTCATTTCACTCATTCTAACAGGATAAGCTTAATTTTATCATCCAATGTTAGTATGACTGGTTTAAGGGACGCGCGATCAATCTCCTCTTTATATGTTCTAATACTAATTTGTCCCGATATCCGTCTTTCGCCTTATCTCAACTGTTCTTCATTAATCATTAAATACCGACATGCACCCACTCATCCGCCCACCCATCCACCCACGATATACATGCGAAGAGAAGATTAACACAGATATTTATACAAATGGTACTAATGTCCAGTTCGAAAAGGATGCTAACACCATTTCAAGCAAATGTACTGTGTGGATTTATTGCCTTCTATCTGCCAATTTCAATTTATTCGATCCGATAACGAAACAAAAGTATCTTCCGACTCTTCCCACGCGATCGGAGCAGACACTCTGACGCTTAGTTTGAACGTAATTAATTTAAATTTAGTCAAATTACCGACTCAGCTGTCGATGAGGAAATTTAACGGCAATTAAGAAAACCCTTTCCAACAGAGATCACAAACGAAGTATTTCAAAAGTGTGCTTAAAAATTCGGGCTTTCCGAAGATTTTCATTTTAAGAAACTTATTTATACTTCAAATTTTTTAAATTCCGAGAGATGAGAAAACTTGAAATATAAATATGTAAGGTTATTCTAAACATTTATTAGAATAGTGCCATTTTTCTCAGGTAGGAAATTTCATCTTTAATGCATCATATTTTTTTCGAATCGCTGAATACCAAATTACGATGGCTAGCATATTGTGATACATAAACAAAGCGAGTGATTAAAAAATTTAGCAAATTGAGTAAATTAGAAAGTGTAAATTTGCAATATATCTTTCCTTTTTTTGAGATGCAAAATTGGGATAACTGAATAAAATGTATTCTATAAATGCAACACAATGAAGCATAAATGGCAAAATAGCTCTAAAAGTGAAACAAAATACTCATAATGAAAATAGTAAATAATAAGCAGAGAGGATTATATCTATTGGTTCACTGTAAATCAATTTTTCACTTTATTTTTTAGCACGAAACATCAGGTAATATGGTAGCAGTAATTCTGATCTGATTGTATCTCACACTTCATAGTATCATTTAGTATTTGATGGGCGCTAATCCGGAAAGGTTTAAGAAGAGTAATGGTTATGGTTGATGTAATCACATTGTTCCGATTCCTGATGTACTGTTCCCTATTACTGTCATAGTTGCGTCATTTCAGATCTGTAACCATTTTTAGTACACTGTATTTTCCCTCCAATTAAAGAGAATCCAATTCTCTTCCTTATCAATGAAAATATGAAGAGGGAAACAAGAAGACGGAATCAAAGAGAAAGAAATCATTTAGTTTGCAAGTGTATCATCAGTCTGAAAGATTTTCTGCATAGATTTGCTTCTGATCTCCGGAGAAGGAGAGAGAGAGTATAGAAAGTTTTGAATTAATTGCATCTCTTTCTTTTATTTCTTCCATCTTACCCTTTGTAAGAATGGGAAGCCGACTTTCTAACATCTTATAAGTATGAATTACTTGTTGGCGAATAATTAGCGGATGATATGTATGAACCATCTAATTTACTTATTAATAATTACAGTTGTAAAAGGTCAATGATGTGATTGTCACAGAGAAATTATCCAACTTGGTTTCAAATCAAATCGAAAGTTTAAACGTTATAAAGAATATCTATTGTAATTATTCGAGCTCAATTACATGCACGACTGCACCCATTTATTCGTACATCTCACGTCCTAATAATTATACTCCACCAATTAATTCAGGTTGAACAGAAAATAATGATTCTGATAGGTTTGCTAATATCATTACATTTGATAATATCGTCAGTCATCATCGTTATATTAATATGAGCAATTTAAGGACAGGTGTTGAAGGCTTTTTAATCTGCTCTATTCATTGGTCTATAAGAAGCATGGGATGTAAATTCTTATTAGGTTAACCTTGTTTGTGGGAATTGTAAACTCTAAAATTGATCATCCTCTATATGCACGTATACATATCAGTATTATTTCTGTCTTCCTGAAAGCTTACTTCCCAGGTTCATAACACCTAAATAAGCTGAATCGGTTTTGATGTTCTTTTTACGATACTAGGATGTTAATACTCCACTTCTTCTCCTTCTTTCTTTCATTGTAACAAAAGGATGCTTATCAACAGTCATATATCTTAATCAAAACCAATTCCCGTGTGACACACGGAGAAAGAGATCTCAACAAGTATAATGTAAATATTATTTGAAAGTTTGTAATTTATCCGATATGTTCATATCCAGCAGAACAATATGGTTTCTAATTATAATTTCATTTTGTATTCATAGAGAAGAGAACTACTAATTAGGAAAATGTGATCAGTTTTCAAGAAAAACAGAAGAAAAAAAATGGAGGAAGTGGCAAAAAAAGGCCTGTTCAATTAGCAAAAAGGCCTAATGTTTTGTACGCTTCACTGAATGTTATTTTACCTGGTAGGCATCCCTGATAGATTACGGTAATGCTGGGCAATAATTGTTTTTAGGATTAGTTGTATCCCAATTTATGAGATACTATGGTAATAAACTGGAAACAATCATGAACCGGAAATAGCGATCGTGCAATAATAATGCGTTATTTTCGCTTTCCCGATAGCTGAGCTTAAGTGGTTGGAAATGAAACTCTTCCATGCCCTTGTGACCTGACAATGAAGTGGCAAAATGTAACATTCAAATTGACACAATCGCTAATTAAAGTAGCTATGCTTTCGAAGTTGTTTTTTCTATTTTTTTATATAAAATATAAAAAATTTGATGACATTCTTGCTGTGATTAAAATTTCGAAATTCAGAATTTTGCTATCAACCAGAATGCTTACAACTTTAAGAGCTAATGTGTTTCCCAAGAATTTACAATGGGTAATGTTAAATAATTTAAGACAAATTGCGGACAAAATGTACCATTCATCATATTTATAATTCAGTAAATGATAAATTAGTGTCGAAAATAGAAATGAAAGATCTGAATTACGTATTGATTAAATTTCAATTCGCTTCAAAATCTTGTGAGGGAGCAAATAACGAAGGTTTTGAACTACTTTACTTATGGTCTAAAATTAAGTTCAAGTGTAATGACAAGTAAAATTTCCGATTGGGACGCTTTAAAAATTTTAATAAACAAGAAATTTTAATTGGGTGATCTTTGCTTCCTCATATTTAAATTTCATTCAATAAGCACTATGTATCACTTATTATTATTATTATTATTATTTGTACTTCAGTAGCTTAAAATTGCTTGAAGAGATTTAAGCAGAGGTAAGTTGAAAGAAAATCGCACTTGGCTTGAGAAAATTATTGTCATATTAAAAACAAAAATCTTTGTAAATTTTTCAGAAGGGATGTCCTGAAAACTGATGTCAAAACATTATCTCTGCCACATTCCACTTTTACTGTTTGACAGGGAAAGCGGAAAAATAATTTAAT